CGTGATCCTCTGCAGCGCTTGAGGCTGGTGTTCACGACGTGCCGTTGACCGTTGACGGCAACACCGCATCGCTCACCCTCCGGGTCTTCGCCTCCGGTCCCTGTCCGCGGCGTACCTTTTCCTGCAGGCTCTTCGGCACCGTCTGCGCCCCGGGCCCCGCCCGCTCTGGCCGCTTGAGTCCCCGCCCTCCTGTGCCCTCTCTCCCGAATTAAAGCTGCGCGTAACCCGCCTAGCTTTTAGCGGAAGAGGTTCGCTCTCGCCCCGCCGACAAAAAAGTCCCAGGGCGTTTGGCCCGCAAGCGCGCTGGCGATTTCGGTTGCGAGGGGACCCGCGGATGCTTCGCCGCGCTGTTGGCAACCAGTGTGGCCGCGTCTGGCTGCAACCAGATGCGAAGGAGACCGTCCGCAAGTGCATTTTGCCACGGCTGCTCGCGCACCCCGGGACCAGACAGGTCACCATGAACCTGGAGTTTTCCCTCGATCTCGAGCTGGCGTTGACACGCAATGCAAGGTGGGCGGTTGCCTGCTGGATCTGCTGCCAGTACTGCGTGTTTGGCCCCGACAGGGGCAGCTGGCGGCGGCGCGAATACCAGTTGTTTTTTCTTGCTCTCGCCTTCTCCAGCGAGCTGTCTCCAGCCTGATGGCCTCGGACTGCCGCGCGCTCTTGCTTGAGCGTTGCCACCTCCGCCTCCCGAGTCGCCGCACCGATGCCACTTTTGCGCAACAATTGGGCAGATCGCTCCGATTCTCAAGCCTGCCTCTCCAGCATTGCCACCCGCGCTTCCGCAGCTGGTGGAGGAGGCCGCTCGCTGTCGACTCCGCCGATGCTGCCGCGCCGAATCGAAGGTGCGCTGGCGCCGCTGACCAACCGCGCGGCGCCAACGCCGCCTCTTCGGTCTCCCCCTCTCCTTGGCATCGCCCGGGCGAGTGCATTTTTTCTCGGCCAGAACCATCGAGGACCACCCTGGACCATCGAGCAAACAAAAAAACACGCACGACGCCGAACAATGCACGGCAAATGGACGTCCGAACGATGGCGAATCTCCTGAGGCCTTCAAGCGCCTGGGGAGCTGGGGCGCTCCCCGCGCGCGCGTGGGCGCGCTGCGCGCGCGGCCGCGTCCCGAGCGACGGAGGAGGAGGAGGGGGAGGGGGAGGAGGAGGAGGAGGAGGAGGAGGAGGAGGAGGATGAGGACGAGGACGAGGAGGAGGAGGACGAGGACGCGAACGAGGAGGAGGAGGATGAGGAGAAGGAGGAGGAGGAGGAGGAGGAGGAGGAGGAGGAGGAGGAGGACGAGGAGGAAGAGGAGGAGGAGGAGGAGGACGAGGACTTGCTGACCGCACCTTTGCGATCCACGACCTGCTCCACAGCTCGACCCCGCAGCGAAGCGCTGCTGCGCGTGGTGGGCTCCGTGGCGCCTCCGGCGGCCGCAGGAAAGCCCGCCGGGCGGCCTCGCGGGGGGGGGCGCCCCTGGCCGGCAGCGGGGCCCCCCGAGGGGGAAGACCGTGGAACCCGCCTGCAGCACCGCCCCATGCACGAACACTGCTCTGAGGAGGGCCCTTCGTCCTCGTCCCTCGTCCTCGCCCCTCGTCCTCGTCCTTCGTCCCTGTCCCTCGTCCCCCCCTCCTCGTTCCACTCCCTCGCCCCTCGTCCTCATCCTTCGTCCTCGTGCCTCGTCCCCCCCCGTCCTCGCCCCCTCCTCCCGTGCCTCCTCCCTCCCCCCCTCCCTCCTCCCTCCCCTCCTCCCCTCGGGTCCCGTAACGATGCCTCCTCAGCTGCCAATCCTAGCGCAGGCGCAGCATGAGCCACATCGATTGGGAGCATGTTGACGATTGCGGACGCTCCACCTGCGATCCGTCGGCCGTCTCGACCGAGGGCTCCGGGGCGATGAGCACACTAGATGCACGCGAGGAAGCGGGGACTGTGCCTGAGCGGCGCGGCGCAGAGCCGCGCCCTCTTGCCCCGCCGGGCCCCGCAGGACGGGCAGATGGTTGCTCTTGCTCGGGCTGGTCCCCGACCCCCTCGCGCTGTGACACGAGATCACGACGGGGAGGTCTGTTTTCGGCCTCCAGGGGCCCTTTACCAGGCCTCGAGACCGTCAGAAGACGACTCGGGACGAGAAACCAGTCACGGGGAAGGTCGAGTAGCGGGCCACATGCGAACCTTACCCCTACCCCCCACGAGTTCTGAGGGGGACGGTGGGGTTTGCTCCGCTCGGGAGCTCCCGAACGAACTGAACCCCACCCTCCCCCTCAGAAATCGCGGGGGGGAGGGGCAGGGTTCGCACGTGGCCCCCTAGGTCCAGACCTCTGGGGGTCGACGTGGTGAACAAGTCACGGCGTCGGCGGCCTGGCCTCGCCCTCGGCCCTCGGCCCTCGCCTCCTCTCCGGCGCCGCCTCCGGGGCGCCGCCGCCAGGCCTCGGCGGAGGGGGGGCTCCTGGCCCGCCGGAGGCGCTCGGCGGAGGGCCCTCGCCACCTCCGCCGGGCGCGGTGCCTCCCCTCGCGGCGCCGCAGAGGCCCCTCCTCCTCCTCCTCCTCCTCCTCCCCTCCTCCTCCTCCTCCTCCTCTTCCTCCTCCTCCTCTTCCCTCCTCCTCCTCCTCCTCCTCCTCCTCCTCCTCCTCCTCCCTCCTCCTCCTCCTCCTCCTCCTCCTCCTCCTCCTCCTCCTCCTCCTCCTCCTCCTCCTCCTCCTCCTCCTCCTCCCTCCTCCTCCTCCTCCTCCTCTTCCTCCTCCTCCTCCTCCTCCTCCACCTCCTCCTCCTCCTCCTCCTCCTCCTCCTCCTCCTCCCTCCCCTCCGTCCTCAGAGCAGTGTTCGTGCCCTCCTCAGAGCAGTGTTCGTGCATGGGGCGGTGCTGCAGGCGGGCTCCACGGTCTTCCCCCTCGGGGGGCCCCGCTGCCGGCCGGGGGCGCCCCCCCCCGCGAGGCCGCCCGGCGGGCTCTCCTGCGGCCGCCGGAGGCGCCACGGAGCCCACCACGCGCAGCAGCGCTTCGCTGCGGGGTCGAGCTGTGGAGCAGGTCGTGGATCGCGAGGGTGCGGTCAGCAAGTCCTCGTCCTCCTCCTCCTCCTCCTCCTCCTCCTCCTCCTCCTCCTCCTCCTCCTCCTCCTCCTCCCCTCCTCCTCCTCCTCCTCCTCCTCCTCCTCCTCCTCCTCCTCCTCTCCTCCTCCCTCCTCCTCCTCCCCCCTCCTCCTCCCCTCCCCTCCTCCTTCTCCTCCTCCTCTCCTCCTCGCGTCGCCTACGGCCCCTCCTGCTTGCGGCCCGAGATCAGCACCAGCATCCGCATTTCATCATGTGCTAACTAGTATCGGTCCTTTTTCCTGCTCTGCCTCCTCCCCGTCCTCCTTGTCATCCTCTTGGCTGACGTCCTCGTCCTCTCCCTCCCTCCCTCCCTTCTCTTCCTCCTCCTCCTCCTCCTCCTCGTTGTCCTCCTCCTGCATCTCCTCCTCCTCCTCCTCCTCCTCCTCCTCCTCCTCCGCCTCCATCTCCTCGTGATCCTCCTCGTCCCCGCCGCCTTCGTCCAGGCTCTCCTCCTCCTCCTCCTCCTCCTCCTCCTCCTCCTCCTCCTCGTTGCCTTCCTCGCCCTCGCCGGCCTCGCAGTCCTCGCCCCGAGGCCGCCGCCCGCGCGCCGCCGGCGGCAGCCGAGGCCGCGGCCAGCGGGCCGCCAGCGGCGGACGGCGACGGCGACGGCGTCTAGCAGAGCCTGCCGCGCCGTGGCGGCCATGGCAGTGTCCTGGGCGCAAGGGCGGCGCGGCGGGGGAGGGGCGCAGACGAAGGGGGGGGAGGAGGGAGGAGGAAAAGGAATAAAACGAGTCATGATTATAATAATGATGGCAATATTATTATTGATATTCCTAATAATAACAACAATAATCCTTATACTCATAATCATAAGCATACTCATAATCAGAATGATCATAATATGACTACTGCTACTGACGATAACGATACTAGTAATGGTGATAATACGGACAATAATGCGACTGATAATAATACGAAAGATAATCATACTACTAATGATACTACGAATGATGATAATAATAATAATAATGATGATAATAATAATAATAGCAATAATAATACTATTAAGAATAATAATACTAATTTTAATAATAATAATAATAATAATAATAATAATCGTAACAACAGTAGTAATCGTATTAATAATACTACTAATAATAATGATACTATTATACTGAAGAAGAACAAGAAGAAGAAGAGTCCGTAGCCATTTTGGCTCAAGTTGTATGTCTTCAAGGTGGTTGGGTCAACCCGTGGTTGCGGGGGTCCCCCAGATGCTTCAAAGCCTGGGCCCCCCCCCAGTTTTCGCATGCATCATGGGCAACAAGAGCAATGTGTGGAAAGATTCAAGGGCTCCCTCGAGGGCGCGAAGTTATTCGCGCTTCGCGCTTCGCGGTCCTCGTTCCTTCTCCTCCTCCTCCTCGTCCTCCTCTTCTCCCCCTTGGGGGGCGGCGCGAGAGCGCGAAGTTATTCGCGCTTCGCGCAGCGCGAAGCGCGAACTTAGGAGCCCTTGAAGATTGTTGGCGTGCCCCCCACAGGAGGTGCAAAGTCAAAGACACCTTCGAGTGGACGGGTGCGTGTTGGATTTGCGGCACCAAGAAGCCCAGGGCCCCTGGGATGGTCGAGGCTCCTGCTCCTGGGTGCTGGGGGCAAGCGCGTGCTATCAGATGAGCCCACGCTTCGTTCCCTCATGCCGTCCCTGTCGCAGTCTCAGCGGAACAAGCTTCTGCATCGCCGCGCCATCGCGGCAGCAGGGCTCGTGGAGCTTGTCGTGTTGGTGGTGCAGGCCTCTCAGGACGCCGGCGCGCTCTCCAGCCAGCTGCTGGCGGCCCGCACACGGCTCGAGAAGGCACGGGTGTCGGCGCAAGGGGGCGCTTGCAAGTGTCGTCGTGATCGAGGACGAGGTCGCGGAGCCCCAGGGGAAGCACGACTCGGCCCGAGCTCGAGCGGCAGGGGCCCCAGCCGCGCCCAGGTCCACGGCCCCAGGCGGGCCAGCTCCAGCGGGCCATCCTGGCGCTCGGCGGCGTCGTGGGCTCGCCTGCAGGGCAGGGCGGTCCGGCGGCGCAGTTGGCGCAAACCCTGGGCACCGTGCAGCAGCTGCTCGCGACCACGGGTGTGCCGCAGGCCCCTGCGGCGCCGCCAGCGGCGCCAGCCCCAGCGGAGGCGGATGGTGGTGCAGCCGCGCCGCTGGCGCCGCCCGCTGCAGCTGGTCCAGCTTCCCGTCGTGCACGGCGACCAGGCGACCTGGCGTCATGGGCACGGCGGTCTGGTGGTTGTGCGTGGGGTGGTGTTGAGCAATCGGATCAAGGGATCGCACGCTCCAGGCGGCCCGTTCGCCGTGCAAGGCGCGCACGCGGTGAGGCGAAGCCGGGCCGCCCCACGCGGGCTGGGCGATCTGCCCCCGCGCCAGAGGGCAGCAGGCGAGGCAGCAGCGGACGGAGCAGAGGCGCTGCAGCGCGGCTGCCCAGTCGCTCTCCCGCAGAGGTCGCTTCGGCTACAGCTGCTTGCCGTCGCGGTGCGGCTGGCGGCGCTGGGCGGCAACGCGGGTAGCCCATGTGATGTGCTGCAGCTCGTCGGAGGTGCTGTTCGCGGCGTTCCTTACGGCCGTGGCGACCCTCGCGCCCCCTCTAACCCGTCGTTGGCGTTCTTCCTGCCAGGCGCGCTGGGGCCCTCCAGAGCCCCTTCGGCGCCCGGGAAGCAGCCGGGAGTGGCCATCGCTGAGCCGGGAGGGATGATGAGCGGGCTGCCTCTTGGGTCAGCCGCGGCACATCCAGCGGGTCGTCAGCTGGGCCATCTTGTGGCGGCGGCGTTGCCTTCCTTGGGCGAGCGGCGCGATGCTCGAGGTGATGTTCCATGCGGCCGTGGCGACCCTCCTGATCCCCTCTCGGGCCCCTCGGCGGTGCCCCTCCGGCCTGGCGCGCCAGGGCCCTCCGGAGTCCTTTCAGCGCCTGGGTCGCAGCCAGGGGTGGGCATCACTGAGTCGGGAGGGGTGATGAGCGGGCAGCCCTTTGGGCCAAGGGTCGGCTGCTGCACATCCTGCGGATCGTCAGCTGGGTCATTTCTCGGCGGATGTTGCGCGTCACGGTGGCGATCGGCGCGGCACTCGAGGTGATGGCACGAGGAAGCAGTGGGCCTTCACCACCTGCAACGCCGCCAGCTGGGCCAGGCCAGAGCCCAGTACTTTTTGCGTGCTCGGTCTGTTCCCCTCCCCGGTGGCCTGCTTCGCGGTGGATGGCAGCTCGCTGTCAGCTGCGGGGCCAAGAAGGCTAGCGCATCGCGCGCTGTCCGAAGGCACGAGAGCCCTGTGCCAGGAGCCAGAGGATCGGGGATGGGAGATTTCGCCCAGTAAGAAAATCGCGGCGTTTTCCCCTGCCCTGGCCACGACCCTGGTCCGTCGCCTTCGTCACTGGAAGTTTCAGCACGATCGAGGGGTCAAGCAGATTCTAACAGCTGGGGGTGGACTTCACGGCAGGCTCTAGACAATCTCGGAAGGTGCAGCAGAATAGGATCAAGGGAGTTCGACGGCGTGTTCGACTGTTCAGGCTGTTGAGCCCCAGTAGGAAAAGGCATTTCTCGGTTTTCGAAGACTGGGGGAAACCAGCAGCGTTGCACGGTATTTGAGTATTCGGAATGTCGAATGCGTCCTTGGCGGCCCTGAGGTCGGCCGCAAGAGCCGCGTGCTTCGGGCCTGCAGCGGGCAGGTCACGCACGTTGCAAGTCTTTCTCAGGTCGGATCCTCGGGCCGACCCTGTCTACGCAGTCCTGCCGTTAGTGTTTTGGGGGCGCGCGATCGTCGAAGGTTGGGCCTCATTGGCTACGATGGTGAGTACTTTCCGTCAGGCTCAGCAATTTTTTAACGGTGGTGCCAGAGGTCCCTGTTCGGCCATCTTGGCCACCTTGGACAGGTTGGGATGGACCGCGGAGCGTTTCGATCGGTGGTTGACGGGGGGGGGAGGGTGGTGGTGGTGGTGGATCTGCGCGAGGTCTGTCCTGGCACTTTGCGCAAGTTCGTCAACATCGTCATGGAGCGTTCGCTTCGAGAGTCTTTGCCCGGATCCCCAGGCTTCGAGCTGCTAGGATGGCCCCCGCTGTGGGAACCAAGTCGGATGGTTCGGGCACAGCTCCGACGAGGGGCACAAGTCTGGGGCCCAGCTGTTAGTGACTCACGTGGTGGGGGGCCGCTGGACGCAGCATCGGCTGTTCGTGGCTCTGTTACTTCGTCGGGGCGGGGTGTGTTTTTGCAAAGCCGCTCCAGGGACCCCTTGCCATCGTCTTTCCTGTCGTGATTTCTCGAAGATGGTCCGAGACAGACTCGACCTTGACGAAGTCGCGCCTCCAGGTAGCCAGTGCGAGGTTAACGCCTCAACTGTGTTTCGCTGTCTGGCCGACTCCCTGCTGCGGTCACAGCCTCCGCCTTCGCAGTTGGGGCGGTTCGTAATGATGGGCTGCTGCAGGGAGGAATTCTTACATCTCTCCTTGGCATCGATGGCTCGCGCTTTGATCCTGAGTTCGCCCATGCCAGCAGAGAAGGGCGGGCGGGCGTCGCTGTGGGCGCGCATGGCGACTCAGCAGGAGCTTTGGTTGGCCCCCTACCGACAGCGCTCCAGGAAGTAGGCCTGGCCGAAGGGTTTTGTACATGTGCCTCCGGCATTCCCTGTGAGCCGTAGTGTTCGGGACTGTTTGTAAGACCGTGGCCGATGGTTTTGTTCTGGGACCCGCGGCGACATGCAAAACCATTCCCTTATTCTGAAGTGTGGGTCCGCGTTTGGAATAAAGTTCAGGACATCGGCCGCGACAGCATAGAAATGATTTAGGTTCCATCCCATATGCCTTGCTCCTCCTCCTCCTCCTGCTCCTCCTCCTCCACCTCCGACCAAACTTCCTCCTCGCTGCTTCTCCTTCTCCTCCTCCTTCGTTTCGCTTTTCCTCTCCTCGGCCTCATCCTTATCCTCCCTTCGCTTCTCCCTTTTCCTCCTCCTCATCATCATCAGCATCATCATCATGCGCAGCAGCTGCAGCATCAGCGTCAGCATCATCATCACTATTATCATCATCATCATCAGCATCGTCAGCACCAGCATCAGCATCATCATCATTATCATCATCATTATCATCATCATCATCATCATCATCATCATCATCATGTTCATCATCATCATCATCATCATCATCATCATCATCATCATCATCATCATCCTCATCATCATCATCATCATCATCAGCATCATCATCAGCAGCATCATCATGAGCGTCATCATCAGCATCATCATCCTCCTCATCGTCGTCATCATCATCAGCATCATCATCAGCATCATCATCGTCGTCGTCATCATCATCATCATCATCATCGTCATCGTCATCGTCATCATCATTAGTATCAGTTTCAGTATCATCATTATCCCCATCCCCTCCCTCTCATCCTCCTCCTCCTCCTGCTCCTGCTCCTCCTCCATCTCGTCTTCTTCTTCTTCTTCTTCTTCTTCTTCTTCTTCTTCTTCTTCTTCTTCTTCTTCTTCTTCTTCTTCTTCTCCTCCTCCTCCTCCTCCTCCTCCTCCTCCTCCTCCTCCCCCTCTCCCTCTCCCTCCCCCTTCCCCTCCTTTTCCTCCTCCTCCTCCTGCTGCTGCTCCTGCTCCTGCTCCTCCTCCTCCTCCTCATCATCATCATTAGCATCATCATCAGCATCATCATCAGCATCATCATCATCAGCAGCAGCATCATCACCACCATCATCATCATCATCATCATCATCATCATCAGACGTTCGTCCCGGGGGCCGACGTCCGGGACGTGGAGAGGGGCGGGGGCAGGCGACGACTCGCGGGGAGGTTGGGCCGTGGGCTGGCGGCGCTGCGGGCCGCCGACCTCGTGGCCGCGCTGCCGCCGGAACGCGCCGCCAATCTGCTTGAGAGAGGCGGCAGGGGCGCTGGCCTCTGGTGGTCAGCGGCGCCAGCGCCCTCGACAGCATGGATCGGCAACCGGCGCTGGCGGCTGGCCGCGAGGAGACGCCCGGGGGGCACCCGTCCTGGGGCCGGGCCAGACGTGTGCTCGCTGCTATTGCGGCGGCCCGAGGCGAGGGCAGCCGTGCGGGCGGCAGCTGGACATCGGCGGTCTGCGCGCGGTCCGCTGCATGATAGGCCCTTTTCGGGTACACTGGCGTAGCGACCTCAAGCTCGCGATCGCCGGGGCTCTCCGCAAGTCTGGAGCGATCGTCGACGTCGAGGCGCACGCCCCGGACCTCTACAGGACGGGCTCCGACGGCGGCGTGATGGAGGCGATCTTGGACGCATGCTGGAGGTGGCCGGCCAACGTGACGTGGACGTGGCTTGACGTCACGGTGCACTCCTACCCGGAAGGTGGTGCTCGAGCTGCAGCCGCGGATGTGCATCAGGCGACGCGCGCCGCAGGGCGTTCCAAGCGCCAGCGGTACGGCGATCGCGTCGCCGCCTTCGCAGTCGGCGTCGGCGGCCGGCTGGGAGAGGATGCCCTGGCCATCCTGCGCCAGATCGACGTGGACGCGGCCAACCACGCGTGGGTGGCGCGAGGCCTCCCGGCGCCGCCCCCCGAGCAGGGCGCTGTTAGCTGCCATCAGCGCTGCCGCGGTGGCCGCGGGGGCTGAAGCCACCCTCGGCGCCATCGCGCCGCTGCCGCCGCCGCCAGAAGAGGGCTGAGGTGGCCGGCCGGCGGGGCCTTCAATGTTCGAGGCGTTCAATCGTATGTGACCGTAGAGTGGAGAGTCATATCTTCATCATCATCATCATCATCATCATCATCACCATCACCATCATCATCATCATCATCATCATCATCATCATCATAATCATCATCATCATCAGCATCTTCATCTTGCTGTTGCTCATGCTGCTGCTGCTGGTCCTCCTTCTCCTCCTCTTCCTCCTCCCCCCCCGTAGCCATTTTGGCTCAAGCTGCTTGCGCGGGCGCGCCCGCAGGTCTCAAACGGGCTCCTCGCCATGGGCGTCCGGAGTTGAAGTCTTTGGAGGCGGTCCGCCGGGGGGTGGCTGCGGGAAACCCCTCGGACGCGGGGCGCGTCGTCCTGTGGGGCCACGCTGGAGCGCGGGCCTCCGCAGACGACCTCATCGCGAATCGGGGGTGGACAGAAAGAACCCCCGACAGTGACGCGTCGATTAGTGAATAGTCCGTTTTCGGTTCTCGGGAGGGCGCCGCGGCCGTTATTTTCCAGGCTTGCGCCCGCCAGGTTTGGGCTTGGGTCGTTTTCACTAAACCACGTTTTACTAGTTACAGGGAGGTCTGTCCATCCCCGAGCGAAGCTCAAGGCGAAGCTTTCGGCGGCGCAGGTCGAGCTGCAACGGCCAGGGACCACGGATGCGGCGCCTCCCGGCGCGTCCACTGCGGCGCGGGGTGGCGAGGCGTGCGGCCACCGCTCGGCCCGCCCTGCAGGTCCTCGTCGAAGGCTCGCGGGCGCCTGGTGCCCGCCTGCGGGTGCGCCAGTCGCTGACTGGAGGCGCGCCCAGATGGGGCCCGCCTGGGAAGGGCGGTCGGCCTCGGCGGTAATGGGCCAGGTTGCACTTGCGGCGCTGTGGTGTTCTCCTCTCGCCACGCG